CTTGCCGCCATGAACAGTAAACTGTCGGGGAAAGCTTGCCACCGTGAACAGTAACCTTGCCGGAAAAGCTTGCTGCCGTGAACAGTAGAAACGGTCGAGGCCAATCCGATCAGATGCTGAAGATGGGCTCAAATACTTATCTAGATGGCTTCGGATGAAGAAGTGTTCAACACGGGAGTTGTTCGTAACGTCAAAACGGTCAACTTTGCTTTTGGAGTCATCATCATCCGACGTAGTATACGACCTGCAGAGACGCTGCAAGAGTCAGACGGTCCAGTCAGCTACATGAACGAGTCCGACTCGAAATTAGAGATGACCCCGTGGAGTATTCAAGATGGCCTTATTTGGAAAAGTGATCAACATACGGATTGTTGGCCTCATCGAAGCACACATAATTGATATTTGAACCGTCTCCATCGGAAGTCATATGCAGATTCCACAGCCCACGCAAGGAGCAAGACAGAAGATTGGACCAGATTCGGGCTGAATCCGGGTGGGACCAGAACTAGGATTCTAGGACGTGAATTGATGTAATTTTCTTGTAAGGAAAGCCTAGATAAATCCTTTGCTTGTACGGGAAGTCCAGCCGCCTCTTATATATGTTGGGGGTGACGGCCGATTGAACAACACACAATCGAACAAATCAATATACTACTTTTTCATATACGTTTTATCTCTCCACCGTTTTTCTATCTCGTGCTTCGCTGTTCTTCGTGTTTGAGAGCTGCGAATCCCGAGGCTCTAGGGGCGAGCGAATCGACCTAGGGCATCCCATAGCCGCTGCACTCCCTGACGGGGTCCCTCCCGGGGGTGTGGGGTTTTCGGGTCTGCAAAAAGCGCCCGTCGACTGTCTTGTGTATCGCGCTGTCGGTCGGGTCTCCTTCGACGTGAGCTGCGGTGCATCACCCCTGGCGTCGAGGGTACACGTGACGTGTTCGTGTGTCAACAGAAGGGGAGCACTCGCCTCTAGAACATGAAAACTGAAAAAGAGGCAGACACCATCTATAGCTAGATAAGGATACAGATTAAGGCACACATGGTGAACTCAAAAAATGTGTTTCACGCCCCGTCTTATAAATTATCCTTCTGATTACACATTTTCTTGTATATAAATCATTGTAACGTCACTGATTTAATATAGGACGCTGATAATATCCACACTTATGGCATATTAGACGTCCATCCACACATTCTGTATGGCGTAAGTAGGAGGCAGCTCATACGGGTCATGTAGGGGTGAACATTAGAATTACTCACACGTATGGACGCAGCTATTTCGTGTCACACGTCCAACAAACTACTACTCATTCTCACCTTGCGTGTGTGGCACAAACAAATCTGCCCACACGTCCTGGCGCACCCGTGGGATGACACTTTAGTTATCTTGGAGGATGGCAACTATAGTTGTCATATGTGATAAACACTTGCCTTATGTGATCAAACAATAGTTGCCATGTGTGATTAACTAGTTGCCACGCATGGTCTAACCATAGTCGCCATGTATGGTTAATCACAGTTGTCATGTGTGTTTACCTAGTTGCCACGTACGCACAACTGCAGTTGTCATCTAGCAACGAATCATAGTTGCCATGTGTGTTTACCTAGTTGTCACGTGCTCGCAACTGCAGTTGCCATCTAACAACGCAGGAGCGTCGCGTGTGCGAAGAGCAGTTCGTCCACACACGCGTGGACTAGATGGTGACTGTATGGGCAGAAACTGGTTCGCCCACACGACACAACTGGTAACCACGTGTTGCGGGTCGTGTGGGCGAACTCTCCAATGCTCACACACACGATGATGCCCATGTGACGCTGAAAATCTAACAAACTCCTTTAGAATTCGTGCAAAACAAAATCAACGTGTATCAACACATGTGGGCGAAGTACAAACATGCTACACATGTGGGAGTTAACATTTCTGTTAATTTATTGGGTTGAAATGCGCATTTTTTTCCTTCTGTTGCAAGCGCACGGGCTCCTTTACTAATAGAGTAATTAATGGAAGAATATTATACGAAAATCAATATTCGATGAAAATTGATGAAAACCATGAGAAGAAGATGTTTCGAAGTTTCAAAAAAATGAAAAAAGTATGGGATGTTAAGATGATGATGTTTTATCACCACACAAAATTTCAAGTTGAAATACATGGGAAATGTGAGTTATGAAAAAGGGAATATCAGCGTTGAATAGTGCCGAACAATAATGGCACCATTCAGAGCTGAATTTATCTTTTTCATAACTCACATCTCGTAATTTGTTTCAATTTGAAATTTTACGTGGCAATAAAACATCATCCTCTTAACATTCCATGTTTTTTTTGTTTTTTTTCAAAACCTTAAAATATGGTTTTCAAGAAATATAAGTTTTCGTATGATATTCTCCTGTAATTAAAACTCTGTTCTGAGATGAAAAGACTCTGCCCATCAGCAGTTCAGCACCTTCACGGCAGCACGGGTCCGCTACTCGCTAGCCGTCCGGTGAAGCCTCGCAAGCAGCTGCCGCCGGGATAAACCGTTTGTTGGCCAGGTCTCTCTATCCTGTTTGACACCACGCAAACAAAATCGTGCAAGTAGCAGCGCCGTCGGGCAAGACAAAAATGCTCTCGCTGCGGGCGCCGCCCCGTACTCTCTCCGCCTCGCCGTGGCGGAGACGGGGCCGCCTCGACGGTTTCGCCGCGCCGCGTTGTGTCAGCGCCGCGCCACCCGCGACAACCCTAGAGACGGCTACCGCGCGGTCGGCAGGCGTCTCCTTCCCGATTCTGGTACGCCGGCTGCATTTATCACGCCACCACTAACCTGTTCGGCCAAATGCCGCTGAGGCCACTGGTCTTCCACGATTTTCTCATCATAAATCGTTTCTTTAGTTATATACATGGCTACTTGATGCACAGTGAGGTATGAGACTTTGACGGCTATAAATTTGCCCTTTATCATTATGTACTGGATTTCGAGTTCCCATGCTGGTGCTGCAAAGGAGTACTTTTTTCATTTGAAGCAACCAAATATCAGTGCCAAATGTCTTACGCTTATAAGACAAGGTCAATCCTGCTCCACAATATCTTATCCATATAATGCCCTATCTAGGTCTTTGGAAGGCTATAAAGGACAGACGAGGAAGTTGATGCAATCATCAAACGAACATAAGCATAGCTGCCAAAATAACAAAATGAAGTTGAACTGACCTAACCACATTTCATTACTTTAGTAATAGATGATGCCCATGTATAATTCTGTAAAAAATGAACGTTGCCCTATTTGATTCACATTTTACCCTGATTATTTTTTTGTATCCACTTGTGAAGAACAGTCAACTTTAGGAGAAAAACAGAAAATATGTTGATCTCATAGTCAAATGTTTTTTAATCCAAGTTTCATAACTTTGTAGTATGGTAAGCCAATTTGCCAGCCCCCTACCTGTACATATTAAGGATGACACATGTGTAGTCAATAACAGTGATTACAGGTCAAGTCCAACAACTCTGGCTGGATAAGACAAAGGGACTAGAGTTACTGAATTTATACAATTTCCTGCAATGCTTTACTAGAAGATCAATTGGAATATATTCTCATACAGTCACGCTAGACAATTATTTGACGAATTTATTTAGTAGTATTTACTATTTAGTCTTTCATTTGTTCAATTCTGTAGGTAAATGGCTGCACTGGTAAAATGGGGGTATCTGTTGCTGAGGCAGCTACTTCAAGGGGTCTTCACCTAGTTCCTGTTTCATTCAGTAGCAGAGAGAACCTTGATAAAACAATACAAGTGGGTGATACAGACGTTGAGATATATGGCCCTTCTGCAAGAGAAGATGTTCTTTCATCTGTCATTGACGAATACCCAGATGTAGTTGTGGTGGACTACACGGCGCCTGATTCTGTGAACTGTAAGTTTTATCTTTGTTATTTTATTTTGCTTTATGACATCTTATAACTTGCTTGGGATGATTTATCATCATGGTAGCTTCTACAATCGTGAAATTACTGCTGCAGAAATTCCTTTTCCATGTCGTTATGTACAAACATGCTTCTATCTGACTAATATCTGCAGAAATTCCTGCTGCTTGTTTTTTTTTTGAAAATTTATTCGCAAGATCTGATGCATATATTTTTGTTTGGCTTACATTAAGGATTAATTTCAGTTTTATATGACGAAATAATATGATAGGAAACTACTTCGATTTGATAGCTCGACACATTTGACCTAGAATAACTAAACTAGTACTCCCTCCGTCCCAAAATTCTTGTCTTAGATTCGTCTAGATACGGATGTTCCGTCCCAAAATTCTTGTCTTAGATTCGTCTAGATACGGTATCTAGACGAATCTAAGACAAGAATTTTGGGACGGAGGAAGTAGCAAATTGATTTGGATCTTGCTAAAAGTCTCAGGTTCTTAATCCGTGGGTAGTTTTCCCCCCTCCATTGCTCAAGAGGGATACGAAGAAGAAACTAAAGATGCTTGATTTTTTGGTCTATTTGTTGTTTCCTTTCCTTTGCCGCCTTCAGTCTTCACTCCTCTGGCTGAAAAAAAAACAATACTCTTGGATTATGCAGCTAACGCCGAGCTCTATTGCAAGCTTGGTGTGCCATTTGTAATGGGCACAACTGGTGGGGATCAGCAGTTACTGTACAAATCAGTGCAAGATTCAGAAAACTATGCACTAATATCTCCACAAATGGGCAAACAGGTACGTCAAAAAAGCACTGTCAAATCTAATAAGTTGTTGAAAACATGAACGCCACACATGATTTTCCCTTGTCAGGTTGTTGCATTTCTTGCTGCAATGGAAACAATTGCGGAGCAGTTTCCTGGGGCCTTCTCAGGCTATCGTTTGGAGGTATGGTTCTACCTTGAAAATTCAGGTTCACAAAGGAAGTGTTGGACAATGTCAAAAGTCTTTAAGCTTTTACTTCAAGGACCATTTCTTCAATCATTAGTCTACCCTTATATGTTTGAGAGAAACTACCCAGTAATATAAGCTCCTTTGCAAGTTTTCGAATTGTTTGTTTGCTCTGAAACTTTTTGTTAGAATATTAGGCCAAACGCATTTCTGTTGACTCACCCTAAACTTCCATGTGTCATTGTGGAGGTCTAAGTGTGAGAATATTTGCAGGTACTGGAATCCCATCAAGCAGGAAAGCTGGACACATCTGGTACAGCTAAAGCTGTGATTGCTTGTTTCGAGAAATTAGGCGCGGTCTTTGACATGGAGCGGGTAAGTTCGTATTCTTGTGCTTAAAGTTTTTTTTTGAACCTTTCTTGTGCTTAAAGTTGAAAGTATATATTATCCGTATTCTTAAGCAAATAGCAACTTGACCCTCGTAATGTGCATCATGACCTTAAACTAGTCATTTTCAAATCCACAGTGGAATTGCCATGCCATTTTTTATTCGGAACTATAAATTTCCTTCAATATGATTGATCTTCTCTCAAACTTCTGTCTTTCTAGACCTGAGGATTTTGTTAATATTACTTCACTGCAATCTAGATGAGGAATTATCTGTTCTTTCCACGAAAAAGATACCATAGTATGCATTACCAATTTGAAAGAAAGCTTGGCTCTTAGTGACTACTCTTGGGAATCCAGCCAAGCTGTTTCATTGGCTGCAGGATAAACTCTGAACATTGTATGCATGATCACAACTGCATCCCCTCGTTATATTCTTGGAAAATGTTTTAGTATATCAACTGGAGGCTATAAGTTCCAACTCTAGCCTCCTTACTCTTAAATGCTTGATAACTCCATTTGGGAATACTTGATGATTGTATTTTCTGGAAACATGATGATTGTATATAGGTCTATATCTTCGTATTTTTATACCTTTGGAGCCAAGGTTATGTTTACCTGTTAGTGTCCTGAAGCTAGGATTGTAGGAGATGCATTGCGGTTCCTGTTTACTTTCATCCTATTTTATCGGAAAGGCGGATGGTCCGATGGTAGAAGAACTTCACGGGTCTCATTTCATTTCTCCTCCTAACACCTGGAGGAGCTGGGAACTGCACAGTAGTACAGTGAGCTCTTCGGATGTGCCACTTGCCACCAGCTCACTGGATATAAATGACAAAATAAAAGCCTATGCACAGTAGTACAGTGAGCTCTTCAGGTTTGTCACTTGAGGCGGAGCCTGTTTTCTTACATGAGAGAGCTGTGCTTTCCATGCCTAGCGACAAGGCAGCGGGCCCTGATGGATTCACGGGTGCCTTTCTCAAGGCATGTTGGGACACTACCAAGTCGGGCATCATGCTTGCCATCAACAATTTCTCTGATCTCCACGCTGCTCACTTTCATTGGTTGAACTCTGCTGACATTGCTCTCATTCAGAAGAAGGATGTGCCGAGGACATCGTCGATTTCCATCCCATCATTCTTATCCATGTCCTCGCTAAGCTAATTGCTAAGATGATGTTGTTATGGCGATGCTAGAAGGAGGGCGCGAGAGGGCCGGCCGGGGGTCTTTTTGCCCACGGCCGGGCAAGAGGAAGAGGATTTCCTTCTTAATTCTTGCTTGATTAGATTGATACGTCTCCTCTCTTTATATAGAGAGGTTACTTGACTCCCAAGCAAGGCTTACTTGACCCCTAAGCAAGCGACCCTTATCTCTAATTAACCCTAAGACTAACGGGCTATACCGCTAGCCCAGGCCATTAGGCCCATTACGTACTCTAACACTACACCCCACCTGGACATGCAGCTTGTCCTCGAGCTGCAGCCTAACCAACTTATAACCATGACTCGACGCAACACAAACCTAACATCTAAAAACAAGCCTTTTACATCTCGTCTTGTTTTATTACTCTCAACCTGAAATGGATTGGGATGCTTTATTTTGGACCCCTTAACAAAAAGTGGACACCATCCGCACGTCGGACGTGCACGTGTACAGCCACCTGGATCCCATGGACATCACCTGGACAAAAGGAGTGCATGTGTATGGCCACCTGGAAGTGGTCGCAAGAGCGACCAGCAGAGGGGCCCTCGCGGTGGCCGACGGCGGAATGCAGTGGTGCTACGCGGTGTGCTCCTGTCGGTGACACCCTGCCTTCTCCCCGCCGGACGGCTGTTGGTCTGCACCTCACAGGGAAGAGTGGAGGGCTTGCGATGGAGAATGACGAGGAGGGGTGCGTCCCCCCAACCGCCGATGTCGCAGATTTGAGGTCGCTGCCCGCGGGAAAAACAACATGGCCGCTGCCTGTGGGGGAAACCGCATGCCCAAGATCCCCGACGCACTGGACGAGATCGAGGTCCTTTGCGCAGCGAAGGGCAATTTGGAGGAGCGGCAGCTGCAGACCACGCATCTCCCGCACACGTCGACGCGCTAGGAGGCCGCGCGCGGCAGCCTGCAGCCTCACCGCCGCCGACACGTGGCGGGTAGTGATCCAAGCCGGAAGCGGTGACGACGACGGCAGGAACTTGATTTGCTGGATGGGGACGCCCTGGGGAAGCGGTGATGGTGACGGCGGGAACTTGATTTGGTGGATCGGGACTCCCGCCGGCGCGGTCGATGTGGGACCGGAGCTGACCGCCGGTGGCTGCTGCAGCAGAGCGCCGGGCGCGGCGGAGGCCGCCAGGAGTGGCGGCTGCCACTGCAGCCAGGGCGGGGCGGTGGTGGCTGTGGATGGCAGCTGCAACGGCCCGGCGAGCGCGGCGGGGACGCCTTGGGGCAGCAGCAGCGGCTGCTGCGGCAGAGCGCCGGGCGCGGCGGAGGCCGCCAGGAGCGGCGGCTACCACTGCAGCCAGGGCGGGGCGGCGGTGGCGGTGGATGGCAGATGCAGCGGCCCGGCGAGCGCGGCGGAGGCCGCCATGTGTGGCGGCTGCCACAGCAGCCACGGCGGCGCGGTGGCGGCGATGGGCGACGTAGCCTGGTGCGGCAGCAGCCACGGCGGCGCGGTGGCGGCGATGGGCGGCGCAGCCGGGTGCGGCCTGTAGGACCTAGCCAAGAACAGGCGGATCTCCTGGACCGCCTGGGTTAGGTCCCGCAGCGCCCCGGACACCTCCTTCGGGGTGAGGACGGCGGGGGCGGGCGCGATGGAGGATCCCGGCGCGGGTAGGAGCGGGGCGACGGTCGTGGTGGTCGCCGGAGGCGACGAGATGACCGACAGCGGAAGAAATGGGTTGGGCAGCGGTGAAGACATGATCGAACCGAAGCTAGCTGATACCAAATTGTTATGGCGATGCTAGAAGGAGGGCGTGAGAGGGCCGGCCGGGGGCCTTTTTGCCCACGGCCGGGCAAGAGGGAGAGGATTTCCTTCTTAATTCTTGCTTGATTAGATTGATACATCTCCTCTCTTTATATAGAGAGGTTACTTGACTCCCAAGCAAGGCTTACTTGACCCCTAAGCAAGCGACCCTTATCTCTAATTAACCCTAAGACTAACGGGCTATACCGCCAGCCCAGGCCATTAGGCCCATTACGTACTCTAACAGATGTCCAACCGGCTTTCCCCGCACATGAATGAGCTGGTCTCGCACGTCCAAAGTGTGTTCATTAAAAGAAGATGCATCCATGACAACTTCATGTATGTGTGCAATTTCGCGAGATGCTTCCATCGTAGGAAAACCCCGGTGTTGCTCTTCAAACTTGACATCAGAAAAGCCTTTGACTCGGTGCGGTGGGACTTCCTCCTCGACCTACTTCGACACGTTGGTTCCCCGCCTCGCTTCCGAGGTTGGGTTTCAGCCATGCTGTCCTCGGCTTCGTCTCTCGTTCTGCTCAGTGGCGTGCCTGACAATCCCATCAAGCTCGACAGGGCCGTTGAAGCAGGGGGACCCTCTATCCCCCGTGTTATTCGTGCTCGCCATCGACTCTCTGCACCACATCCTGGCAAAGAGCACGGCTCAAGGAAATCTTCATCCCCTTGGTGGAAATGATATGCCTATCCGAGCTTCGCTTTACGCGGATGACGCCGCAGTTTTTCTTGCGCCCATTAAGGAAGACGTCCAGTTTTTCAATGATACTCTCAAGCTCTTTGGGGCTGTCACTGGCCTTGTCACAAATTGTTCCAAGTCTTGTCGCCCCAATCTGTTGCGAAAATCTTGATCCGGACATTCTCCAATCCTTCCCAGCCAAGTGTTCCTCCTTTCAGATGAAATACCTTGGGCTGCCTTTGTTTGTCAAGAGGTTGAAGAGAATTCACTACCAGCCCCTCGAGGACAAGATTGCAGGTCAGCTCACCCCTTGGGTGGGAAGGCACATTGCCTCGGCAGGTCGGGCAGTCTTGGTTAAGTCGGTCCTCACGACGATTGCTATCTACTACATGACGGCGTTAGATTTACCGGTGGAGGTCAAGAAAAAGATCGATGCCCTTAGACGTGCTTTCTGTTGGGCAGGTTGTGATAAGGTCACAGGTGGAAAATGCAAGATAAATTGGGAACAAGTGTGCAAGTCCAAACTGCTTGGAGGCCTGGGAATCCTAAATCTCGACAAGTTTGCCATCACTCTTCGCCTCCGTTGGCTGTGGGGCGAGTGGCTTCACCCGGACAAGCCATGGGTTGGCTTGGGAACCCCTTGTGATGACAACGACCAATATATTTTTGTCGCGGCTACCAAGGTCCAATTTGGCGATGGCTTGCGTGCCAAGTTTTGGGAGTCTCCTTTGCTCGATGGGATTAAGCCCAAAGACATGGCCCCTAAAATATAAGAATTGTCGAAGAAGAAGAATTGCTTGGTTCGAATGGCTCTGCACGACAACTTCTGGACTTCCCAGGTGGACATTCTTCGGGGCCTCACCGTCGAACACCTCTCTGAGATTGACACTCTTTGGGAGAAGGTCTCCCATATCCACCTCGACATCGACACGCCCGACACTATCACTTGGAAGTTCCCCACTGATGGACACTACTCGGCGACGTCGGCCTACAAGGCGCAGTTCTTTGGCCATACTGACACGGCCATGATACCAACCGTTTGGAAGGTTTGGGCGCTTCCTAAATGCAAATTCTTTGCTTGGTTGGCAATCAACAACAGGATTTGGACGGCGGACAGGCTTGAGCGTCGTGGGTGTCCAAACTGTAACCTTTGTCCCCTATGTAAGCAGGTGCAGGAGTCGGCGGCCCACCTTCTATTCCAATGCGGACACACTATCAGAGTTTGGTGCATGATCAAAGATTGGTTGGGTCTCCATGATGTGCATCCTTCTGATTGGATTGACGCGACTTCCATTAAAGAGTGGTGGAGCCACAATGCTACCAAGAAGACCCAATCGCGAAGGCCACTTGCTTCCTTGATGCTTCTTATCTCTTGGGAGTTGTGGAATGAGAGGAATGCGCGGATCTTTCGTAATAATGCCGTCCCAGTTGGAGTCATCGTCGCTAGGATTAAAGAGGAAATGTCGCTTTGAAGCATGGCGGGGGCGAGGCACTTGAGTAACATAACGCCGCGAGAGTGATTGTTGTAATTTGGCCATGGGCCTTAACCTCTAAAACTTCTCTCTTAATCAATTAAAATGGCAAATCTTTTGCCGTTTCAAAAAAAAAAAATCCATTTAATTTACGAAGTAGCGGCCCAAGTTTTTTTTTTCCTGCCTGCTGATGTCTTTTCTCCAAGCTTGTTACTACTGATTTATAGCATTGGTTTGCTATACAAGTGGTCAATAGACTTGCGCAATTTCTGAAAGTTATGGAACTGGTGTTATATTATGTATTGATTGTTACCTTCTATGTCAGCAGATGGTTAAGATCAGGGATCCTGAGCAGCAGCTTTATATGGTGGGTGTCCCCGAAGAACACATTGAAGGGCATGCATTCCATTTGTACCATCTGACTTCTCCCGATGACAGGTAATTACCACCCTTCTGAAATGTGATGCTTTACATTCAGGTTTGCTGATTGTTCTGTTTTCTCTTGCCAGCGTTTCATTTGAGTTCCAACACAATGTTTGTGGCCGTTCAATATATGCCGAAGGGTCAGTTGATGCCGCCGTGTTTCTGTATAAGAAGGTTTGTGTATATCTTGCTTCGTATGATTGTTGTGACACACGTTACTTGGATTTCTTGTTATCTTATTACTATTTCCTTCTAATTTAGGTACAATCAATGGATCCTAAGAGAATTTACAACATGATTGATGTCTTGCAAGAAGGCGATATGCGGTGAAGTTAGTTGATTAGGTCTTGATGGATCTGAGTGAAATTTTGAAACAATCTTCCCGTATCTTGCGGAAACACAGGGGATTTGGAGGGGTAGTATTTAGTGAGTAGTGTGGACTGTGGAGTACTGGAGTTGATGATATATGTGCTGAACTGCATGCACCCGAATAGCTTAGTCCAGAACCTTAAATTGTACGACCGGAAGTGGGGCAGGACGTCAATATTGTTCATGTGGGTGGTAGCCTGGTAGGTAACTGTTAAGCAAGTTTTTCTGGGCTTCCCGCTCATCCATCTACCAAAGTTGCATCTCATATGTACCATCAGCGAGAAGGTCAGTGGCAGAAGTCGCCGTACGCATCAAGTGAGAAATAACAGGATGCCAATCATATTTCGAACACACTGTACTACACACGGTACATCAGAGTGAAACAAACACACAAAACAAGCAGATGCAGATCGAACTACTCCAGAAATGGAACCTCTCAACTGAACTAACAATCGTCCTCGCAATCCAGTTCAAGAAATGAAAAACAATCGTCCTCGCAAACATTATTTTGTGGAAGCAACGTCGCCTGCTACCAGTGAGCAAAGGAGCGAAAAATAACTCGTTCGTGGCTTCAACCAAAAGAGCGAGCAACCTCGCTCCGCCGCGGACAAAACCATCTACAGCTTGCCGCCGCTCTGCTTGGCAGGAGGAAAGAACGGCAGCTTCTTGAGGAACGGGAGCATCTTCTTGAAGAGTTGTGGCTCAGTGACGGCGTCACGCTGGGCCCGGGGGTGGTAGATCGGCGTCGGGGTTGGCGCCGTCGGCGTGTACACCGGCGTCGTTGGCGGCTTGACTGCAGGCGGGAGCGAGTGATCGTGGTCATGGTCATGATCGTGGCCATGGTCGTGATCATGATCGTGGCCATGGTCGTGGTCATGGTCGTGATCATGGTCGTTGTCATGGTCATGATCATGGTCGTGGTCATGGTCATGGTCGGGCTTGGGAGGGACAGTCACGGGCTTGTGGAAGACGACCAGGTGGTGCTTGTGCAGAGGATGGCACAGGAACGCTGAGGCGCATTCAGCCGACGGTTGGTGCACCTCGCCGGCGAGCGCGACGAAGGTCGTCTGGCCGTCGCGGCCGGGCCGTGTCGCGACGATCTTGGAGGGCTCCTGCCCGGGGCACGGCGCGCCAGACGCGCTGTGGAGCTGCGCGAAGCAGTCCTGCTTCAGCTCGCCGTCGTCGCCGACGAGGCCGGCGTCCAGGGGGACGCTGAAGGCGCCGGACTTGTCCACATGCCCCACGGCCTTGCTCTGGTACTCGCCCTTGCCGTTCTTACACTTGACAGCAACCTGGAGACCTGACACAAGCCAATGGCAAATTGAAAAAGGCCAGTTAGGCTCTGCTTTTCTTTGACGCTGTTGGCAAATTCAGTGTGTCTAAAAAGTTTACGTACCTTTGAAAGCGGCCTCGGCATTCATGCTCTTCCTTGTGCAGTCCGAGCACCTGGCCAGGCCGACCACGACCGGCGCCGCCTCGCCGTGCACAGCGTTCGCGAGGCCGATCGCCAGCGCTACGGCGCAAACCCCGAACAGAAACCGCCGAGGTAGGAGCGCCATTGTGGAGCTCGATCTACCACCTGTTCGGAGATGCTAAGGAAGGGAAGCTGTGGATGGATGGATGTGGACAAGGATGGCATGAATGCCGAGGCCGCTTCTTGTCTATATAGGCGCCAAACACCGACGAGGTTCAATCAACCGGAGCGGCCCGTAAGTGAAACAGTGACGAACAGCTAAATTAGACGCCGGCTTTGCAGATTAGCCATTAACGTCGCCTAATGTGATCTCCTTTCCTTCAGATATACTCCTCCAGCTTTCCTCGTACTGGCCGTTAAATGCTCAAGCGAAGTGTAGTACGTAGCACATGGATTGCCATTTTGCAGGATTAAGTTATCGACCGGATCGAGGGAGGGTGAATGGAAGATTTTAACAATTTCTTCAAAAACACATTTTCGGAAGAAGAAGAAGAAAGTAAACAAAACAAAGCGCAAATACTGAAAAGAGGAATAGCTGAACTTAAGCGGTCATTAGCTTACAAGCATGTGAGGCAAAAGTAAAACTATAGTAAGCTAAAGACAGAAGTATGCTTAGGGTTCCTCTGACTCAAAAAAAAAAAACTTAGGGCTCTGACTCCCGCCGACGCTGCCGCCGGTTCGCCTCGTCTCTGGTGGCCCTAGGGTCTGGAGGCGCCGTGGACCCGGGCCCTTGCTGGTGGGAGGGATCCTGCTTCGCTTTTAGGTGTTTTATGATTTCGTTTAGGGTATGCGTCCTATTCACGAAGACGAGGCGGTGGCGCCTCCCTGAAGATGGAATAAGCTTCTCCCCGACTAGCCCCGTTCCGGTGATGCGTCTAGCGTCGCCGGAGGGCGTGTGAAGGCGTGTCTCCGACAGATCACGTGGGATTCAGTCGGCATTGGTCTTCAGTGGATCTGTTTGGATCCAGTCTTCGTTTATGCGTCTACATGTTGGTTCTTTTGATTTATACTTTTCTTCGTCAGCGACGGGCTGCGCTGATCCGGTAGGGGCTTAGCACGACGACTTTCCGACTGTCCACTACAACAAGTTTGGCCCGACTTCGGTGAGAAAGGGACGATGAGGCGGCGCGCCTTTGACGCGCTCCAGTGCTTTTAGTCGTCACTACTCGCTAGGTGGTCTACGAACATGGATATAATTTTTTTTATTTTTGTGTTCTTTGTACTACTATGGCATAATGAGTAGATCCAGAGTTTTCTCCAAAAGAAGGCAGAAGTACGCTAGATAGAGAAATAACCAAGTAGCGTTACAAGAAAATAAGTGAAAGTGCATCTAATCCTAAGGTGGATTTTGATGATTCATGTCAACATATCTCAAAGAGCAAAGCATGAAGTTAGGCAGCGGAAATACATATAGTAGTGAATAATGGTTTTGCGACAATCACAAAGAAAGGGAAGTTCTTCGAAGTAGAGACGATTATAGAATGTAAAGGCAGTGCGAGGAAATATAACTCGGGAAAGACACAGAGTTGTGTTACCCCAGTTTGATCTATTGGCACAGTTCTACGTATGGGTTGGAAATGAGCCATAGCTCTGGTAACACTTAGTCCTTGTCTTGTTCTCCATGAGTTAAGTTCCTCGAAACTCGCCCAGTCATTCGAGGTAGATCATGATGTGATCTTTGAACCTTCACGTATTTGTTCTTCGGCAAACCCACAATCTAGAAGCTCTTGAACAAATGGCTATCCGTCTAGAGGATTATGCACAATCCTCAAGAGTAATAAGTTCAAGTTAGGCTTTCATCAAATTATTTGATGATGTTCAATCACTTCTCATAATTAGGCTTGGATTATTGTGAGGAATGGGTTGCTCATACAACACTTGTTAATTTCTCATGGAGCAACCAACCACTTATGGTTGAGGTAGGGGGTATTTATAGCCAGGGTGGCAACCTAGGGATTGATATGATCGTTGGAGATGCACTCACAACGACAACACGACACACTAGTAACAATTGAATTTCAAATCAGGTGTGCGTGGACTTCAATCTAACTTAGCATTTAGACATCCAACCATCGGCAAAGACATTTAACTCTGATGCCTTGACAGTATTGAGACTAAATAACTCACCTAAAAGGATATTTCAAAGTATTCTCTCTCATAAGAAATAGGTTGGATTGAGTACACATCAAAGACTTCAATCTAACTTACTTGAACCTCTCTTAATAGTACGTTTTATCATATGACTCAAATAGAAGCAATAGAGAACTAGTAAACAAAAGTCTACAAGAAGCTTCTAATACGCCACATGATATTTCGAGTTCTTCAATTGTTCCACAAGTTTTATGGGGCATAACTCATGGGTTAAACCAAATCCTCGGGGACTTTAACCTGTGTATGCTCATGAACACATTAGTCTCTTAACTATTTTGTCATTAATCATCCAAACCCTCTATGTGGTACTGTATGAACTTAGACCTTTTTCTATAAGGTGTTTCTCGGAAATTTTAATGATTCTTAAATAGTTAGTGGATTATTGTTTCCCAGTATTGTATGGTTGTAGTTTGCATCTTCAGGAAGGAGTGCATGAAAGCAGTGAGCATGCTGAGACCAGGGTCATAAAAACGATAATCGGCTACTCCACTTGCTTCTATTTCAATGATGCGATGGATCACTAGCTGAACTAGACAATAGCCCGTGCATTATCGTGGAATGTTACTGTGTGACAAAGAGCTCAAAAGAGAAGGGCACACTATGAAGAAAGAGAGTTAGGCAATCCAATTTTGTACATTATCTTAGTATTACATTAGATGGTCAATAGTAATTTGTTCATCTTAGTGGAAAGGAGACCATGGAACTACAAAAAAAATTAGCACATGATTTATTTAAATGAGAACACTAATTTAGAGAGCAAATAAAGAAAGTCTACATCATGACCAAGAGGGCTTCAAACAAAGAGATACTACCGCAATATGAATTGCTTGTTTGCACCTTGATTGAACTCCAAGCTTCAATCTTACTCACGTATGTGGTTCCGCTTAGCTTATAGCACTACATTTATATACATCCGGATTGTAAAAAAATATTGTGGTAACCTGTGCTGAAACCAGTACACATGAAGTATCATACTCCCTCCGTTCCTAAATATAAGTCTTTGGAGAGATTTTATTATGGACCACATACAGAATAAAATGAATGAATCTATACTTTAAAATGCATCTAGATACATCCGTATTTGGTCCATAGTGAAATCTCTACAAAGACTTATATTTAGGAACGGAGGGAGTATTTAAGAGTTGGACTTGCAGGATCTTTCTCCCTCCATGCAACAACTGCGTGTTTTACCGAAATCAAGATAGGCTGCTAGGAGTAGGTGGACCACACGAAGGAGGCCACCCGGTGTTCTAGTAGTGGCCACGCAATGCGAGGACCTCTTCGTGTAGGCGACAAAGATCAGACATATGATTCAAGAAACGAAGCAAATAGATGAGGGAGGCACTTAATGCGGCTTGAACTACGTCGGTATTTTCCTAAAGAGAAAGGGATGATGCAGCACAACTACGGTACATATTTTCCTTAGTGATAAGACCAAGGTTATTGAACCAGTAGGAGAACCACGCAATACCACGTAAACAACTTCTGCACACAAAGAACAAATACTTGCAACCCAACGTAAGAGAGGGGTTGTCAATCCCTCATGGATAAAAAGATAGGTAAAATTATAGTAGATTGGATAAATAGATCTCGCGGGAACGCGAGATAAAATAAATAAATAAAAATTGCAGCAATGTATTTTTGGATTAATAGATCTGAAAATAAAAGCAAATAAAAATAGACCGCGAAGACAAATATAATAAAGAAAAGACCCAAGGGCAGTAGATTTCACTAGTGGCTCGAGAAAATAGCAACGGTGGGTAACAAATTACTGTTGGGCAATTAATAGAACTACAAATAATCATGACGATATCCAGGCAATGATCATTATATAGGCAACATGTCCAAAATTAGTAGACCGACTCCTATCTGCATCTACTACTATTACTCCACACATCAATCGCTATCCAGCATGCATCTAGTGTATTAAGTTCATGAAGAAACAGAGTACTTCAATAAGAACGATGACATGATATAGACAAGATTTATTTATGTAGAAATAGACCCCATCTTGTTATCCTTAATGTCAACGATATGTACGTACCGTTTCCTCTTCTGTCACTGGGATCAAGCACCGTAAGATCGAACCCATCACAAAGCACCTCTTCCCATAGCAAGAAAAAATGATCTAGTTGGCCTAACTAAGCCAAAGATTCGAAGAAAAAATATGAGGCTATAAGTAATCATGCATATAAGAGATCAAAGAACTTAAATAACTTTCATGGATAAAAACATAGATCTAATTATAAAATCAAAGTTCATCGGATCCCAACAAACACACGGCAAAAAAATACATCATATGGATCTCCAAGAGACCATTGTATTGAGAATCGAGAGAGAGAGAGAGAGAGAGAGAGAGAGAGAGAGAGAGAGAGGAAGCCGTCTAGCTACTAACTACGGACCCGTAGGTCTACAATGAACTACTCACGCATCATCGGAGAGGCACCAATGAGGATGATGAACCCCTCTGCGATGGTGTCTAGATTGGATCTGGTGGTTCTGGAACTTGTGGCGGCTGGAATTGATTTTCGTAGACTCCCCTAGGGTTTCTGGAGCAAGGATGTATTTATAGAGTGAAGAGGTGGTGCGAGAGGCCACCGAGGTGGGCACAACCCACCTGGGCGCGCCCTGGGGGGTTGTGCCCCCCCTCGGGGCACCCCACTAGGTGCTTCTCTGACCCATCTGGTGTCTTCTGGTCCAAAAAAATCCACAAAAAGTTTCGCTACATTTGGACTCCATTTAATATTGATTTTCTGCGATGTAAAAAACAAGCAAAAAACAACAACTGTCACTTGGCACTATGTCAATAGGTTAGTATCATTTTTTGGTACTAACCTATTGACATAGTGCCCAGTGCGAGTTGTTGTTTTCTGCATGTTTTCTTACATCGCAGGAAATCAATACCAAACGGAGTCCAAACACAGCGAAACTTTT